ATGGATCGAGATGAAAATGGCGCTCGGGGAATCTTTCTCCGGGCATTGCTTGATGGAGCCTTGATTCTCTCCGGAGATCAGAAAATAGTAATAGTAGTAGTAGTAATGCCTACTATTGATATGTTACAATCCATCCGGGTATAGACCTTTTGACCCTGTCTTTGCACGTGCACTAATTAAGACTGTCGTTTTTGTCAGTGCAAAAAGTCAAAAAAAAATTAAGTCTTTTCCGTATGTCGATCTTAACTTTTAAGAGATGCACAATGAAGCATAATCCAATGTCTCATATGATTAATTAATTAATAACTGTAGGTTTACGAATATGAAAACTTATCACACTTTTATTGGTGATCGTTGTGTCACGGCCAATCATAAAACACACAATACACACAATATACACAAGCATGCAAAGCGAAATACAATTTTTACCCACTAAAAATTCGGTTTTATAAAATTTATTATCACCTAATAAAGAGCCATTCTTCTGCACTTACATCACCTCAAAGGACAAGTTATTCCATTCAACCGGGGCCCACTTTTCTCCCAACTCTTCCGCTCTTTACAGATTGTCTTTTTTGAATAATTACCGCCAAAGACATATAAATCCTATTAAAATATCTACTGTTATAACTGACGGGCAAGCATCATGTCGTGCGATTTATCTGACCCCAATATTCAAACGGCCTACGACGAGATTGTCAGTGGTCAGGATACCAACTGGTAAACTTCAATTTTATTGTCTGCCATTAACTAAGAGAGGAGTCGCAAGAAAACCCGGTGACGAGTTCAGATGAGAGAAATAGAGAATAAAACACATGCGCGGGAGATGTTGACCATTAAACGAGTAAAATTAGACCACACCGTCTTGTCGTTATGATAGAGTATCTTGTAGACTACAATGCTCTAAACGACTCCATAAACCCTTATCTTGATAGTCAATATTAACTCAAATCTCATTCAATTTATTCAAGGCTCATACTCGGTTATAACGATTCAAGGGATAAAGTCTCTCTGTACTCTAAGGGTTCTGGAGGTGTCGAGGAACTTCGTCAGAACCTTAGAGAAGAAGTCTTGTACGGGTTCTTAAGAATTGAGAACAGATTTGTATTAATTACATACGTTAGCGAGCAAGTCAGGTATGTGGTGATTTAGAATATTCAATCCTTTCCTTCAACGTTCAAAAACACACTGATTATGTCAAACTAACGGAACTCTTCCGGTTTCATTAGTGGTGTTCGAAGAGGTATGAATTTGAACTTCTCGGCATTACGTGTTCGACAAAAGTTGAATAGGAATTTACAGAGAATTTGCACTATATAGTCAATACTCACGCTACAATTTGTTCTTATTATCTCTAAAGCTCGTGCATTGGTTCACGGTAGAGCTGTGGGCGCCTTGTTTAAGGTAGGGCAATACTATGACACAAGTCTTCTGTTCTCAATATTTCAATCAATCGCATTGCTATAACATGTTCTATTATTTCAATATATTTTCACCGTCAAGCAGGCACATCAAGTCCAGATTAGTGCTTCAAATTCAAATGATCTCTCAGAAGTTAATATCCGTAATCGCCTTAAACTTAGCGCTGCCGACGATCGTCCAGGGTCTCCTAGTCGCAAAAACACTCTTGAGCAACGCTCTCCTTCGCCCTCTAGTCCACGGACTAATCAGACAATCGGGTCTCCGAGTCCATTGAAGTCGTCAATAAGCGCCGAACCAGAAAATGTCCAAGAAGACAGCACAGACGAAACCGAAAGAATATCCAGGGAGCGCGAAGCGGCGCAGAGGAAAGACGCTGAGAGGATTGCAAGAGAAGCTGCTGCGCGAAGGCAGCAGGAGGAGGCGGACAGAAAGAGACAGGAGGGGAAAGAGGCTTTGCTAAGAGAAAAGGCTACCGCAGAAGCTAAAATGAGAGCCGAGGCTGAGAAAAAATTGAGAATGGAAGTGGAAAGGAAGAAGGATGAAGAATTAAAGAGTAAATTTGCCGAATTAGAAAAAAGTGGAAAGGTATGATTTTTACGTGCATGCAAGTATGGTATGTGGTTTGTTGTGTACTGGTGACAAGCTGAATGAGTTTGCTTCCTACACAGGTTTTACTCGATGGATATATTACAGTTCAAGGTGGTGGTGTATATGTAAGTACTGGAAATGTGGATACAAGGATTTTTCCTTTTGTTTTTCTCTCTGTATTTGGTTTGTACGCATGCGATCTAAACTAAGAATTAACCTTGGTTTATTCGTAGTTCTGGAAACGCCGCTTTTTCGAATTACGTGGTAAAACACTCTATTTGTTCCGTGACCGTAATGAAAAGCTTCCCATCTCCAAACTGGAACTCGACGGAGAAGTAGTTAACGTGGAAGATGCGCAAACTGACGTCCTCATAAACAACTCGGTCAAAGTCGATTTCCGATCGACTGAACCGTATTACTTCTTTTCCGATGATAGAAAAGGCAAAGACTTGTTCTTTTCTGCCATAGAGAGATATGTCAAGTAGATTAGTAATTACTATTATTTTATTATTATTTTATGGTTGGATTTATTTATTTATTTATCATTTATTATTTATAGCTGAAGTATTTGTGTAGAATTTACTCGAGTTCATTGGGTTTATGTGAAAAGTATCTTGAATTATTAAAACGCGTCATCCATATTATTAGAATAGAATTCATTTATTTTAGTTACAAGGTAAAGAGCACTATCACATCATAGTCAGTCTAGGATAAACGCATCTTCAGGACTGTCCAACGCTTTTGCTTCAACCCATCATGAGATTATTCTTATTGTCAATCTTAATTGAAATAATTATATAATGAACCGCTTTCTATAAACCTGTAATTGAGCAGAGGAAGGCCTTTGACATTTCGCAAGAAGCCAAATGAGAAATGACAAGCGATGAGACAATGACGAGTTTGCACGAGTTTTGTTAGTTGGAACAGTATGAAATTTGGCTTTTATTGTCGTAAACACATTAAACGTCGTTGGGCACATTATTGTGATTACAATTATTTTCTGCGGACAGAGCTGATCTTTTCCGCTTGTTAGGAACGCGCGCGCGCACGCTTATGTGGGAATAGAGTTTAAGCGTTATTTATACCAAACATTGATTAAAACAACCCAGAGAGCCGCCAACTTTCCAAATTGCCGAAACTAACCTTTTTTCCCGTCCCAAATTCATCGCCTTTAACAATTTTCCTCTTGACAACTCGTTTGTTTTGTTTCGTCTCCTTAACAATAACTATTTCATCTTCTTGTACTTCGCTGTTATCATCAGTATCGTCCTTAATTTTCTCGACAAAACTACCAACATCACCCTTTATTTTTTGTATCGCAGGCACAACAGCAGTCGTCCGCCCTCCGACAGTGAGGAAAATAACCTCGTTTCCGTCAGGCATTTTTACTTTTTTCTTCTTTGACTTGGACCATCGTACATGAAAAAGCCAATCTTTGGGGAATTCGTCCGGGTTTGCATTAACTTTGACAGCTTTTTCACACACCCACACCAGTTTCTCTCGTATAATCTTTTTTTGTTCTTTGTTCAACGTATTCGCTCGTTGGTTCGGATGGACTCTCGCTTGATACAGCACCTCATCAGCAACCCAATTGCCCACGCCAGCAGAGAATGATTGATCCAAGAGAAGCGCTTTGATAGGACATTTACGACTTGATACTTGAGCAGAAAAAGCAGCTACTGAAGGTAGATCTTGGAGAGGGTCGAATCCGAGATCAGAGAGAGGTGGGTGAGACAGTACTGGAGAGGGAACGAGGCGAATCCGAGAAAGGCGACGGGGATCAGTAAAAGCGACGATTACGGAAGACGATGAAGTAGATGGAGATGACGACGACATTTGATCGGGTTGTTCGGGTTGTTCGGGCGAGGCAAACGTGAGAATCAGTTTGTAGTATAATGGAGGCCAACTAGAAGAGGAAGGTCTCTTGCGACGATAATGGAAACTTTGGTGACCTTTAAACTAAGACATGCGAATAAATTAAGAATGTAAAATGGAGAAAAGAGTAGCTGCAATTAATATGGAATATAACCTTTATATCACCCGTCATTCCAAAGTGGAATACTGGATGTGGACCCTCGTCGAGTACTGGTTACGAGTTATCGTCATTAAACATTTGGAATTTCCGTAAAAATCGGACGAAAGAAATCATTCATACTTACGGAAATAGAAATATTTCCCGCGTCTCCCTGTCTCTGTGACGGTCTTGTTCAGCAAAAGTTCAGCAAATTTCTCGTGTGGCATTTCACAAAACACCTAAATGCATGTAATAGTAATGATTATTTCTTTTATAATAGGTCAGCTTACTTTTTCACTTGGAACTTTCTTACCAGCAAATCTTCTTTCTTTCGATGCAGAATGTATGTGACATTCCATTAGATTGAAATGAGTATTGAATCGTAAAATGAGTATAGACAGATATTTACAGTTTCTACATCGATGATCTTCTTTCCAACCAAAAACTCGTGGCATGCTCTTTCTGCTCGGTGAACTTCGGGAAGTTCGGGCATTGTCAGCGCGTGGGAGAGAAACTGTAAAGTAGATGTTCAGTTTATTTGGTTTGTGGGAAAGAATTGAAGTCACAGATATGCTGTGCGACAATGAAACATTTTTCTATTGTATTCAATTAAATAATATAATTATCAAGAACTAGTGGTTTGCTTCTAAGTAATAATATTATTTACTTCACTCTGTTGAGTGCGATCAATTACTTTGTTTATACATCGACTATGTAACCTTTTTTTTTTTTTTTGAGTCATTCACAGAGGCACGTAACATATAACTGAAATAAACAATTAATCTTTCCTTCCCTTTTTATTTTGCCACGATCGTGGTTGTTTCACGGATGTAAGTATAAGAAATGTGCTCTGAACACAAACCATAACGATTAGTTGTGCTGCTTCGATCATTTCGTATTTGGCAATCGATCTATACTTTACAAATTTGGCTAACTCTAAAACTTCAGTCGCATTACGCCATTTTATTATATGAACAGACTAACTAAAGTAAGTACTCATCCGTAACTCGTCAAAGGACGTCAACTGATTGGTGTTTCCTAAATTTGGTAATTCCTTTAATGTTTAGGTGGGACATTAAGATTTGAGTAGCGTAATTATACCAATTAGGTATGCTTTTATTAAATTAATATTAAAATAATTTCTACTCGCCAATCAATTCCCGCCTTCTTCTATCTGGGCGACAATCCAATCCAAACCTTCAAATAGACTGCAAAAACAATAAATATAGTTAGACTCAAGAACACTCGATTGCGTACAGGTGTCAAAGAACGCTCACCCATCACCGGTCAATGCACAACAAGCCTAAAAATAAGGAACAACATTAGCTTGCAACTTATAATCTTATATACTGCTATCCATAATCATCTTACTTGTATATGCCATTGCCGATCTCGGAGTCCTGTTAGATTCAATGCTTCGGATATTTGCGCTGCAGACAGTGCTCCATTCATATCCTGCTTGTTGGCAAACACAAGCAACGCTGCATTTTTCAAGTTCTTTCAAATAGAGCATACAGCAAATTAATCCTCAAACAAAAAGTCACATTTCCCCTTCACAATCGAGTTTACCATCGTCTTGATCAAAGGTTTCACCAACAAGAGCACAGCTCACACTTACTTCATCTTCCAGCATCGTATGCAGTTCATTTCTGGAGATATGTAATCTGTTTTTATCGGTGCTATCAATAACCATAATGACAGCTTTCGTTTTTACGTAGTAAGTTTTCCACGTCGATCTCAGTGCGTCTTGACCACCCAGATCCTGATTAGTAATAAAAGACAATGTAACAAGCTGATACACCAGAAGCAGACAACTTGATGTGTTTTCAAAACTCCACTTACCCACATTAGAAAGCGAATATTCTTGTAAGTTATTTCCTATTACGGTTGTTCGCATTTTATTAACAAGGAAGGCTACTGAAGGGTCGTCAATCAGTCAATCGGAATCGTTGGCTTACCTCAACGTTGGAGCCGATAGTCGGTGTTGTAACCACTACTTCGTTTAATAGTCTAGATCGTAGTATAAATAAAGCATTGAGCCTTGCAGAACCACATATTGTGCTTGCTATCAATCCTGACTCACAATTTATACAGCACAGTTGTCTTTCCGGCATTGTCCAAACCGACAAGTATGATCTTGACTTCTTCTCTGCTCATAAGTCTTCGCCATAGCTTTCCAATAACCAAACCCATATTTCTCTCTCTATAAGTATAATCTAATCTAATATATGGAGTATTAAAGTTTCACTAATACATGGCAGAGAAGTTGAAGCATGTCAATAAGTTGCTAAATGCGTGTAGGAAGGATTTCTTCGTTCACATGATCGCCTGCTCGAGTCACACAAGTCACACTTTCTGTTACATAAAAATAAACGCGACACGATATGATCATCCGTGAAATCTAATGGCGGATGAGATTCCAAGAACTGGCCGCATTCCTCGTCGAGGAGTGACTGCAAGACGAAGATATCCACTTTCTGCTCGCAAGGCTACCACTAACTCACGCACAGTTGTCCCCGCAACCCCCAGTCAACTTGAACGTGCACTTAATAGACAAGAATCAGTTCCCAATCCAGAAACCCCAAGAAGACATGTTAACGAAGGAATAGACAGAAATGTGTTTGCAGTGTCTGAAGAAAGCAGAGTGAAAATGACCTTTGGTAAACGTACTGAAGAGAGTCCGATTGTATTGGTAAATACAAATGAAAATGTACAAAGTTATAACAACATAAGCATCGTAACATTCATTTTGTCTTGTAAAGCTTAGACACATGTCTAGGGTATCAGTAAAGGCCCAAGAACACTTACAGACTCCAAAAAAGCAGTTACTATCACCTGTTTCTAAAAGATCTAATTTTCGAACACCCGGTTCAGCAACAACGACGCCGACTTCAGCCCGGAGAATTTTAAAATTTACTCCTGGAATCATAGCTAGTCTTACTAAAAAACCTGTTAAATCTGCCGAACACCGAGTAAGACACGGCCGAGTTACTAAAGAAACACCAATTAATATTTTAAGGCGATTAACGCGCGGTATGGTTTATTATACATTTTCACAGTATGTTTTTGTACTTATTCCGATCATATATACAGAGAATATAACTATTATTTGTTTTATAAGTTGCTGGATTTCCTCGCCTCTCTGACACAACTGCTGCACGATTAAAGCAAGTGCAAGAAGAATACTGTCTTGCTGTTGCTAGGGCGAGCGATTCTATAGAGAATGATAACCGTCTTGCTGCTGTTGGGACGAGCGATTTTATAGAGGATGATAACTGTTTTATTGCTGTTGGGACGAGCGATTCAATGAAGGATGATAACCGTCTTGCTGCTGTTGGGACGAGCGATTTTATGAAGGATGATAACCGTCTTGCTGCTGTTGGGACTAGCGATTTTATAGAGGATGATAACTGTTTTATTGCTGTTGGAACGAGCGATTTTATGAAGGATGATAACCGTCTTGCTGCTGTTGGGACGAGCGATTTTATAGAGGATGATAACTGTTTTATTGCTGTTGGGACGAGC